AAATCTGACTAGAAAAGCCTAATGAAATTCAGCCCTTCAAACATATTTTAGTTCAGAGTTACCTGATGATTTCACTGAAACATTTGTGCTCATATCATCCCAAAGGTCCCTGTTATTATTGTTATCAGGGTATTCAGATCAGAGGTTGGCTTTTCTTGTTGGCTTGTGCTTAGCACAGTGGGTCAGGAGAGCTGTTTCACTGTGGCTGTGATCCCAATTTTTTAATAATAGCTTGGGAGATGTTGAGTTACCAGTACGCTCACACAAGGTCAGTAGTAAAGCTGGAAAGGAGAAACAACCACGGGAAGCTGATTCTATCCCTGTAATTGCTGGGAAACAAAACAATTGTAAAACATCAATAAAGATTTAATTACATATTGATTGCTGCTAAAATGTTCCCTGGGTGAACAGGTGCTTTAATAAATCGGAATCAATTCCTAAGCTGTTCTAACCAGTCTTTTCTAAATGCAAATATTGACTTAAGGCCTTTCTATTCATTCACAGTTTTATTAACATGATTTTATTGCAGAAAAATCAAGATAAAAGCTCAGCGAGGAAAAGGTAACACAGGCAATGTAAAAAATGCCCACGATCTGTGCAGGCCTTCTGCTGCCTGTGGGCCAGCCTTTTTCCTTCCCTGTGCTGCAGAAAGACCTGTGTACAGGGAGTCTTCAGGCACTGTGCTAATGCCACCTTGCTGTCCCCCCCAGGTGGCTGCTCTGTGTCCTCAGATGCAGCACACACACAGCAGGACCTGTGCTATCCATCAGCCTGCTGGGTTGGGTGATGGTAGTGGGGTGTAGGTACTTCAGTTCTCTGCTGAACTCACACCCAGGTGTACATAGGAATAGCTGTCTCCAACTACTAGCTCTGTTCCTGATAGCTGGAAAACTAACAAAAATCTATTCCAGAGAGGATGCTAATGCATATACATAATTTAACCTCTGCGGGTTTCTATTCCAGAGAAACCTAACCTTATACAGTGTTAATTCTCCCAGCATCCCAGTCCAGATGTGGCCTGAATCCCAAAAGGCCAGCCACAGGATCTCCAGGCAGTGGCCAGCCACAGGCAAAGGCTCTGCTTCTTAAGAGGTATGTCATCACTGTGACTTCTGAAAAGAAGATGAAAAGATTGGATGGGTTTGGCTTTGCTTGCATTTCTATTTTGCAACGGTTTGGAGTAATGTTTGGATAAAATATATGTAAGTGTTCAAACTGAGGTTAAAATACACTGTTCCTGTCAGGAAGTAGATGAAGAAAATAGCAAATATCTTAGTTGGGAAAGCGGAAGATCTCTTTCCTATCTCCTCACGTTTAAGAAAGTGTTTTTAAGGGCAGGTAATAATCTGAGAAAGATGTTCAGTCTTCCTCTTTCCCTAGAGTTTCCCTGGCAGTGACAAAGTCAACTCTGGCTGTTGTAGGCTGTTGAGCTGAGGCTGGGCTGGGGCAGGTCGAGCCTTGCCCGAGGTACCAGAGCTGACAGTGGAGCATCTTTGATGAAGCCCAGAAGCACTTCTTCTCTGCAGAGCAGAGGGTGGGTTTGCCAAAACATGGGACAGCACAGTGTGTGGCCTGGGGGGAGGGGAGGTGGGTCGTGCCAGTGATGATGGCCCCAGTATTTGCTCTGGGGTGGGCTGGAGAAAGGTTTGAGGGGAGAGCATCCTCATTGCTGGGCAGATGGAAGCTTTTCTAGATGGAAACTGCTGATTGTTTTTTATACTTACATTAATAAATTAATGGTAGATTAGTGTTGATTTATTAATGTATCATGCTGCAGTGAGGAAATACTGCCTGCCACAGGCATCCAGATGGGATAATGCAGTCTCCTAATGTCGTGGCTTATTGCTTGGCTTTCTTGAAGCAGTCCATTCTGCTGGCGAGGTGGCCATCTAATAATAAATTGTACACCTTCCTTGGGGCTATTGCATGGAATCTCCTTTGCAGGGAAGATAATAGCAAACTGTAGTATGCTAAGGTCGGCCTGTGCCAAAGACCTGACGAGATTTCCTTCTGCAGTGAATCCAAATGCCTGAGCTGACTCCTAAGACCCTTTAGTGGCTGGGATAAGTATCTGAAGAGCATCCCCTTGCCTGGGATACTGCAGCAGCAAGAGATGTTTTGTTTGACAAAGTGCAGCAAGCTCTTCTTCTCGGATTAAATGTAAACAAGGTCACCTCCAATTCTCCATCATTGCTGCAAACATTACTGGCCTTGTAAGTAGTTGTTCAGTCTTCTGGTGTTATCCATTTGAACCCAAAGGACTCTGCCCTGAGGTTCCAAGAAATTATCTGTAGTTTTTGTTTTTTACTAAAACTGTTACATTAGGCTGTAGAATACTTTAGGGTTTGTATCTGCCTCTCTTTCGAGAAGATGATAGAAATAGCCAGCCCTGGGACCTGGGCTCCTGTATCTCTCTTTGAAAAGTATTATTTGTTCAAGCTGCGTTTCTGTTTCCCCAATACTCCTTCCTGCTACAAATCCTAATTAACCATAGTACATTAGCGTCATGCCTTGGACTTCTCATGTCTGTTGGAGGCTTAGAACGGGCATTTCTGACTGAAAATTGTATTCCCAACACTTAAGAGTGTCACTGGTATGGGAGTTCAAAGCTCCCAAGGACTTTATCCTGTAATACTCTGCATTCTTCTAGTTGTAAAGAAATACTTACAGTGATGTTTTTCTGTGATATATAAAACATATGATACATCCAATTAGTTTTATAGTGCTGAGAAACCTTTTTTGCATTTCTGGCTAGATAAAAGTACTTATTGCGAAAGAAACACAGATGTCTGTAGGTTCTGTACATGCAAGAATCTAACATGTGAAGAAATAAATAGCTCTGGGTCCCACAAAGGAACCAGTACTGTTCTCTCCATGGTAATGAAGAACAGGATATGTTGTAGGCACAATATTATTAATAAATAGTGAGCAATGCAATACAAATCTGTAATTCAATTTAGGATCTCAGCTGAAATTGCTCTTTGGAGTTATAGATGGCAGTGAGCTCTGAAATTGAGTTACAGTCCAAACAGGAACTGAGTCATGTGTAGTAATGTTCTAGGAAAACACAGAATCACAGTCAGCAGTGGAAAAAGTGTTATTGACAGTACTGTCTTCACTGAAAAAAAGGCATTTGGTGAACATAAATGAAATTTAACTGAGTTTATAAGTGGATGTCAGGGAGAAAAATAGGGGGAAAGATAAAAGTCAACATTTCCATGTATTGATTTTAAAATGGCAACTTTATTTTAAAAACTAATACAAGCTGAAAAAACAGTTACTAAAAGGTTTAATTAATCTGAAGCTGAAACATGACATTTTGGAGGGCAGAAAGTTTAATATTTCAGTTTGCCTGAGAACATTTTTTTTCCACTTTCTGAAATAGCTCCTAAATTTCTATTCTAGTTAAAGCAAAAGAACTATGGTTTCCCCTTCAGTTCCTTGTCTTAGTCACTGAGCTGAAAGGTTCCTTGTTATTTTAGCCATGATAAAGGCTAATGTTTTTCAAAAGGGACAGGAGAGTCATTGCTTTAAATGTCACTAGCAATCTTCTCTAACAGAACAGATCAGTGTTGTGGGGTCTAATTGCTGAGTTTAAACAGCTCTCAAAAGGTCCAGACAACAAGCAATAGGATGAGTACAGGAGATGTCTAGCCTTGGCAGAACTGGAACACTGGCACAGGTTGCCCAGAGAGGTGGTTGGATGCCCCATCCCTGAAAACATTCAATGTCAGGTTGGATGGGGCTCTGAGCAACCTACTCTAGTTGAAGGTGTCCCTGCTCATTGTAGAGGCGTTGGACAAGACGACCTTTAAAGGACCCTTCCAACCCAAACTGTTCTTTAGTTAATCCACTTATTCCTCACTGCTTGTCATGCATTTGGGACTGAAAGAAAATCCCTGCTCAAGGCAGTTTTCTGCTCTGCAGACATGATAGCTCTGGATTTCTACTCCAGAGCTATGTTACTATGAGTAATGTGCTAACTGGAAAAGCCAGGTGGAGATAGATCTTTGCTTCATGGGACTGTCTGTAGTGAGGCTAAACTGATTTTGATGGAAGTGTTCAGAATCTGTTATAGAAGCTG